GGTGATGGTAGTTTGAAGTGAGAAGTCAACTGGCGGTTTATAGACTTTTTTGCCGCATGAGTATACGTTGCCCAGGGTGCACCACGTGGAGGTAAGTCTATCGCACACCCCAATTTAAAAGTATAATAATTTGTGTTCATACTACCCTATATCCCTTTTATTTGAGTAGACAGCGCCTACTCTGCGATGTAATATTAAAAGCCGGAGAGTTGGAGGTTCCTGCCCACAAGAATGTTCTCGCAGCCTCCTCGCCATACTTCCACGCCATGTTCACCGGCGATATGGCGGAGAGTCGAGCATCTGTGGTAACTATTGGCGGCATCGATAGTGCAGCACTTGCCCTTCTTGTAGACTTCATTTACACCGCAGGTAAGTTGGAATTTTTTGTCGTTCTCGAGTTTAAATTAGCTTGCTATTATTTCTCTTCAAATCTTGCACTTATTGAAGTGAGTTAAATAGATCGATAGTTTCGTTTGAACACAAGCAATAAACCAATCGAGAGCTTAATTAAATCGCTCACTATCATATTACAGGCTTCTCGTTGTATAATATCAGCATTATGTAGATCAGCAATTGAATATTTGTATTTTGTACTTGAACGAAGTTCACTGACTTCGTCTTATTCATTATCAGTTTCTCCATGTCAGTGTTATATGTGTGCTGTCACGCCAATACACTAATTGGTTGGCTTCTCTAACAGTCAAGTGTTTTCCGCATGTTCATAAACATATATTCTAACGTGTGTAACGCATCGCAATACGTGGATATGCTATGATCCACTAGCTTTTGCCAACCACTCAATTTCTAACTGCAATATGGAATAGACTATCTTCTACTGGGTTTTGCTGGTGGTAAGGACGGTTTCCACTTCATTGAGTGCAATTAAAATTTGCACGGCTACAATGCAAAAGTGGCGTTCAGTGTTCTTCTCTTTCATTCTAATCATAAGTACTCTTTATTGGTTTCATTTGGGTAATTAATTAACGACCCTTGTCTATTCCGTCACTAAAAATAATGCTGGAAGTTCTTGTTTCCGCGGCTTCGGTCTGCGAATAGTAGATATTGCTAGACCATAGTCGACTTAATTTCGAGTTAGACGGATAGAGGTATAACTAAAAGCAAACTTTGTTTACACTCTCTTGGCCCGTACGTTTCCTATGATTGTCATTTTGGAAAACCATAGAATGGAATTTTTAGTCTTATTGCAACTTTGGTTGAAATTTCTGAAATAAATATATAATGTTCACAAATAATCTTTTCAGAGGTGTTAATCACAGAGGAGACTGTCCAATGCCTTCTTCCAGCAGCCAATCTCCTCCAAATGACAAGTGTTCGTGAAGCCTGTTGTGAGTTCCTGCAGTGCCAACTTCATCCCACCAATTGCTTGGGTATTCAACGTTTCGCCGATATGCATGATTGCTCAGAACTCCTCCAGGTCTCTCGAAGGTTCACTGAACAGCATTGCGGGTGAGCTGTGCTGAAATATTTTGCCATATGATACCTTAATCTTCGGCATGAGTAAGATCAATGCATTTGAATCTGCGTTGGCATCGTAACTTGTTCCAGACTTCATATCCATTTGAATAATATAGTTCCAGCAAAAATGGTGACGGATTATTATTGGTAGAAGGAACTCTTCTACACGGAAATCGCTCAGATTATCTTGGTATACTGTGAACAATATTTCTGCACTATTACAAGCGTGGTCAATAAAGGAATTAAAATCACCCCATTGAGGATTCATTGGTTATTTGGATACAGTCATTCAAAAGTTACTTTTAATATCTAAAAGGGTTGTGACCTGCTAACCACGAGAACACAAGCCCCCTTGTTTCTTCCTTACTTTCTTTGTCTTAATATTATTAATTGCTCATAAACATGCCCTTTTATTTCAGAACTGCCGTTTTCGCCTAATGGGGCGTCACATTTGCCATGTTTTTTATACTTTGACATTTAATCGCTATCAACATATTGCTAAAGGTGATGATTGGGGGCCTGCGCTTTGCATTAGATAATGCTAATTGTGATTCTACTTTGATTAAGTTGGTCAGACACTGAATCATACTCCTTAAGGGGCGACTGTCATCTCTGTCTCCTATCGTTGCCTTCCTGGTATCAGGTGACTGCAATAGCTGAATTCGTTTCTGTCTAAATGTTTCTGAAGTTCTTGTACATGTGATTTCTTATTGCATGTATTACGGTGATAAGAATGATTCTTTAGTAAGGGAGGCAGTCTATGAGTTTACCTATTTTGTAATTCTCTATATTACTAAAAATTACTCCTTTTATTTTGCAGTGAGGTGCTGGAGCACGGTGAAGAGTTCTTGAGCCTCACCAAGGAACAGCTAATAAGTCTCATCTCCAACGATCACATCCGAGTGTCCGAGGAACAGGTTTTTGAAGCCGCCCTCCGATGGATGCGACATAATGTGGCTACTCGAGGCACGCCTGAAGTGGCTGCTGAAGTCTGCGGCCACGTTCGTTTCAGTCTCCTGCCAAGGGATTACCTTGTAAGACTTTCTCAGTCTGAAGCTTTTCTGCGAGCTAACCCCTGGTGCAAAGATTTCCTCCTTGAAGCTATGGGTTTCCTACTGCTGCCATGGGAACAGAGAGGGCGTAATATCACCTCAGAGCGGACAAGACCGAGAAGTATTGGAGTCCCTAAGGTTTGTTGTCTTTCTGTCACCCCCCTTTAGTAGGAACTCTAGTCTAAGCACTTGTTTGTTAATCAATATCATATGGAGATTATTTAGAATGAAGTGACAGGAGATGTTATATGAGTATAAAAGTCTGGAAATGGATCGAGAAACAGTAGTGACCATGGAGAGTAAGCGAACTCGTGCCACAACGAACCCTACTCTCTACCAAAGCGCGGAATCTGAAAATGAGTAAATATGGTACCATGGTACCATAATTTGTCTGCCATCTTCTGTACTGGTTGTCGAGGTTGGTGGTTTAGCCTTCTTCCACTTCCTCAGTAGCAACGTGCTTGGCTCTTCAATGTCATTTCTTCGTCTGTCTACAGGGAAAGGGAAATAACTATCAATCAACTGGTAGTTTATTTGCCTTGGCAATTATGAACGCGTATGTTGTGAGGTTGTCATGGTAAATTTAGTCACTGTCGTCCTTGTTAGTTAGTCGTGTCTAGATCAGGACTCTGGCATATCTTTATTCGATGGTTAATCTTGGAACCACTTTCAGACAGTACATTTTCTCCTTCAACATATGGGGAATATCCAGTGGCCCTGAGTTATTCCAATCGATATACCAATAATGCCTTTATCGTAAATTGTTGTCTCTGCAACTATTGGCGAAATTCCATTCATCGATTTTAGCAAGGTTCGAATATCTTCTTTGTAAATTCAAACGTTTAGTCAGCGGATCCCGAACCGACAGTTTCGTTGCCCATCGGTGCTCACCCAGGGAGCATAATAACCGACTTGACTGGTTCAATTTAAATGATAAATGGGTTAGCGGAACCTATAACTAAGACGGTCCTATGTTGCTAGGCCACTCTACCCAAGTAAAATGTTTGGAAATGCTCTTTTAAAAATCAAATTCAGTGATGTGAGCATGAATATTTTTGATGAATAATTCTGATCAGCATAATGGAGGGCAGAAAACGTCATTTACTGCTTCAAATCCACTTTTAGAACAAATTGAGTGGTTTTCTCGTTCTAAACTTTAGACTTGCTGGACTGCAGGCTATCTATTAGCTTAGAATTGCATTTCAAACTGACGGACTTACTTATATGCTCTCGCAATTAATTACGTTGACATTTATTTAATTAGCTCAAGCAAGCGATCTAATTACAACAATTGAAGTTTTTATTAAGTTGGCATCTACTAATTTTCAGGCGTCTGCTAGAGAATAGAAGAAGCAGGTTGTTAATTAATACTTGTTCTTTCCTCCTTGAGGAATATTTTGCCTTCTAAAATGTATATTATTTACCCCCCCCCCCCCCCCCCAACAAAGCATATACGTGGATAGTATTTTCCAACAATTGTTGGTAAACATACCTCCTTTCAGCTTATGGTTTCTAGAAACGTCTATTAATCCACTGTTGCATTGTATTTCCTTCAAGCAAACCGTTGTCTTCCTACCTTCCTGAGCAACTGCAGTCTTTAATATACTTCAGAGCATATGCATATATTTGCCACGATTGAAGGTTCTTGTACTTCTAAATTGCTTTCTTAATGATGGGTGATTCGTCTATAAAAAGTTGAATTCCTTTCTCGCAACTGATAATTTTTCATTCCTCCTTTTCAATAGCCACTACGGGTGTAATGATGTTAGCTTCTATCACTGTTGCGAAGTTGCACTTTTCTCACGTACATTTAGGCTTTCCTAATAGCACACTCGAGACATGGTGTGGCAACTGTAGGGGTAAAGCTTCGCGCCCCCTACTGTAATATATTGTATTGTCAAAACCACGTGATTGTGGATTATTTATTTCCACCTATTCGTTCATTTGTCCAGCTAATGATGGAAATATTTTTTTGTCTGTGTCTAATGGCAGGCTTTATGTTAGTTATCATTGGCCCTTTAGTGGACTTCGGGCTTCACAGTAGGGAGGACCGTCGAAGTCACAATATGTAGAGAGGGGTAACAGACAGGTACAAAGGTAGAGAAAGAGGTAAGGTGAGGAGAGTACTGTGGAAGTGGTCAAATATGGCATGCAGTCGAGTCATGATACTTTGAAGTTATAAGTCAACTGCCAGTTTATAGACTTTTTTGCCGTATGAGAATGTAGGACATATAGGGGGGTCATGATACTTTGAAGTTATAAGTCAACTGCCAGTTTATAGACTTTTTTGCCGTATGAGTATACATTGCCCAAGGTGCACCACGTAGAGGTAAGTCTAGTACACACCGCGGCTATCGTAACATTGATTCTTAAAAATAACGCGTTGACTTTGTATGATATCTTTCAGTGAATCGCGATTTGTTAGTCCTAACCATTGCTGTTATGAACTAGTACTGAAGGACTCATGGAACTCGGAGGTTTAAAGTCGGTGGGGGGAGGGGGGAGGATATTGGCTCCTGGTGAACTGAACCACACACACTAAGTGAACAAAGGAAATCAACCTAGCGGCAACGTTAGTCTTTGCTTTTGTTCTCTCCTGTCTTATGGTGTACCCCCCTTGCTTTAATTAGATTTATAATAGAGTGATGATGCACAGCTATCCGTCCTTGGAACGGGTTCTTTTTACATTGAAATGAAATGTAACCCCAATTAGATTTTGCTAGAGCATTAACATATGTATTTATGATCACGTCAAGTGCGCAAAGCAAAGTTGATTCGTGATTCTTCCGTGAATTCTCAGCTCAAAATCCTCACTTTGTTATTTGCTCAGTCTGTAGGGATCTAACATCTTTTAGTCGGTAACTAAAAGGTGTCAGTAAGTTAAGGTTCTCCTTTTCATCTTCTACTCGAATGTGACATTTCGTTTGTTGAATTGAAACTAAATCCCAGTTCTGCTAGGATTGATATTAACAAATTAGTAATTTAATTAATGCGCATGTGCAAGAAATTAGCCATTTAGTCACAGCTTTTCTTTAAACCTCTCCCATTCACTTTCTCCCTTTAAAAGGTCTTGAGAGTGCAAAAAATGTTGCCTGTCGTGGACAAAGAATGTGAATTATATTATCCCACTTTAGTATTTGTGAAGTGGGATCATTAGAGAAGTTATGCGATTTATTAGGTGGCTGGAAATTCTCCGAAGCTGTTCTCCTTGGGAAATGGCACCTCTGTCCCTGTAGCAGGAAAGTAAATCAGATTTATCTTCAACCCACAAGATGGTTTCTAGGTTAGACAATTGAGTTGCATAATCATTGACTAACTTCTTCCGTCGAAATTCAACTCAAGCTTTTTAGAATTTTCTATGGTTAGATGTTTTACATTATACTCACAGCGACAACCTAGTTTACGGTAGTTTTTGTAATTAGACCTTAACGAATGTGCTAGTAAATTGAATACATATCGTTTACTGCCGGAAGTGAAATTACCAATTGTAAACGCGATAGTTAAATGAGGTATTAATGATTCTAACCCCTTTTAAAGATCTAAGTATGGCGAGTGCCACTATCTATATTTATTTCAAATGGCAGGCTTTATGATAGTTATCATTAGCCCTCTTGTTGACTTTAGGCTTCACAGGGGGGTGGAACATCAAAGTTGAAAAAATTCGAGAGAGAGAACAGATAAGTGATTCAAAGATGTAAAAGAGACAAACAGCCACAAACGCAGAGAAAAGAGGTAAGATGAGTAATGCGGAAGTGGTGGAATATGACATACAGTAGGGTCATGGTAGTTAGTAGTCCGAAGTCAACTGTCGGTTAATAGACTTTTTGCCGTATGAGTATACGTTGGTCAGGGTGCACCACATGGAGGTAAGTCTATCGCACACCCCAAAATATGGAACGCTTCACGATTTTGCGTGGCATCCTTGCGCAGGCGCCATGATAATCTTCTCTGTATCGTTCCAATTTTAGTATATGTACCGGTTCTCGTCCACTGTCTACATTAAATCTCGTAAAAGAGTGTAAATGGAATAATAATTTCAATCTTTATTTTTGTGCTAATGGTGCTGTGGCTTTTAAGTTGTTGTTGGTCTTTCTAAAGGAGGAAAATCAGTCGCACGAATGAATTTAGTAAGATCATGGGACTGGTATTGATCGCAAGGTCATAGGCATATAAATAACTGGACGTATATGCACTAGCTTTTGCTAATCTATCTAATCACATGTGTTGATAAAATTAATTCACTGGAATTAATACGAATCGTTTCCTATCATCCTGATTCTCTTCACTTGTAAGAGGGGAATCGCAGCTCCTGCTAATTCCCAATTCTGTAGATCCATAGACGGGGGGGGGGGAGATAATTACCCTCCAGACTTTTAAACCCAAACAAGTCGTGGGCATCATCTACACTCAGACTAATATGAACCGGTTTATTAGATGTTGGATTATGAAAATACAGAAAGTTGCGATTGATCGTTCTTGTGGGTCAGTGTCTGCAAATCCCATGAAGCACTTGTAAAACTGAGCTTTAACTGTAGTGAATACTCCTTCCTACCCCACCCTCCCCCCTTCTCCAATTCTAAAACTATGAAGCTGTAACGAGAACGCAGCTTTCGTTGTGCAACAATATGGAGTTTCAGGACTATAAACTCCCAATTTCACAATGCATCTCGCTTTCCTTACTAACTGCAATGTTGTAATTTAAGCACAACCAGTCTTAATCATATCCTTCAAACAACCTCCTACTTGACTTGAATAATTCTGGGGGGGAGGGGGGGTTCGGAAATTTCAATTTAAAATATTTAATCCAATCCTAAGCCCACATTTTATCCCGAAGTTCCGTATTTGCACTTTTAGGAAATGCATTTTACTTAAGATAAATTGGCTTGTCAATTGCTATTAAAGTGAGAATTCACGTGGTCCACCTTGCTTAAAAATCAAAAATGACAAATAGGGCAAATTTCGACGGAGAAAACGAGAGAATACTTTCTTAAAGTTTTTTGCGCACAACACAAATCGCGATAGTTAAGTGTTGACTAAATGCGATTTCAGTGCTTTCTTCGCATTCCTTATTACAACGTCAGATGATAAATGCCAGCTGTTTTTTATACAAAAGTTTTTTTCCTCGTTGAAGGCGGAAAAAATGTGGCCGCTATATAAATTATCCATTTAAGGCAAAGTAGCTTAACTGAGTTTGTTGAAATGGCCAATGCTATACGTGGTGTTTGTTGTTAACCTAACCTAATCGCTGTACAATCTACCGCTAATCAATTCAATTCTCTCAAACTCTAGTAGTTTTTACACTTGCAGTAACTGAGGCATCAGTTTCATTCAAAAATTTGCTTTACACACTTTCCCTCGTTGGCATAAAAGCACAATGGATTTGCCGATCCAAATGGCAGATTTTAAAAATCAATAACTGCATACACGCTGATTATTGATTAAATAAAGTGTTTAATAAATTCAAATGTTACCACTTGACGCGCCTACCTCGAAGACTGTCGACTTTTGCGCTTAATTCAGTCCATCTAGTCACTACAGGGTGATTACTTGTTCGAATAATTAACATCTGCTACTTAAGCAAGTAACCTCACTTGTTAATTGAAACAATCCATTCGCAAAGCTAAAATGAGGACTTTCGCTCTCGTTATTTATTTATCAACTAGATAAGGCAGCCAGTAATTTGAATATTATCGTATAAAGCATATCAATTTTTCAATTTCATATTATGGTCAGATATTATGGGTCCGTTTCGCATTACTTAAGCACTTTTGAGTAGGCGTAAAATGGACCCAGATGTAACAGCCCTTGCTGAGTTGGAATTTCGTTCCCTGCTTGTAACATTTAACAGATTTCGTGCATTTCCAGCTCAGTTTTAGTTATTAGCAAGCAAAGAAGTCAGGTAAGCGATAGTTAAAATGCAAACGTGGTGAACAACGCAAAAAATTTTGTGAAACTCCCATTTACAACTCAGATCGCACAGATTTGTAAGTTTTATTCGTATAAAAAAATATTCTTATTCTCATCACATGGTTAACTCTATGACACATTTTTCAACAAAACTAATTTTTATTTAGAGAAACTAATCATTTTAAGAGCGCCCCATGTGTAGAGGTTTATTACTGCATTTTTTCTACCTCAGACTCTCGTTGTACTGGGAGGTCAGGCGCCAAAAGCCATTCGGTCTGTCGAGTGCTACAACTTCAACAATAACACGTGGAAAACAGCATCAAGCATTGCAAACAACGGAGGGGGAGCAATTAGCGACCTTCCAGCCCGTCGTTGCCGATGTGGTGTAGCCGTTGTTGGGGGTCTCATATACGTCATCGGTGGTTTCAATGGAGCCCTACGTGTACGCTCAGTTGATATCTATGATCCATTGCGACGTAGTTGGCGTGCTGGTCCGAGCTTAGAGTGTCGACGTTCAACCCTAGGAGTTGCTGTATTAGACGGGATAATATACGCTGTCGGTGGCTTCAATGGAACGCATGGTACACGACCTACTTAAGTTTAATCGGTAGTGTAAGAAATGTGTTGTCACTGTTTATACTTTTAAGGGTTCGCTTCAGTAGAAGCACTAGATCCCTGGTCTGGAACATGGAAATCAGTCGCTCCAATGTCTGTTTCTCGATCAAGTGTTGGAGTGGCAGTTCTAGGCCGATATCTCTATGCAGTAGGAGGTTACGATGGAACCAGTAGACGGTGCTTATCGTCTGTGGAACGCTATAACCCAGTTGCAAATGAGTGGACAGCAATTGCAGATATGAATCATCGGAGAAGTGGACCTGCAGTAGCTGAACTAGAATCTAGGATCTATGTTGTTGGAGGTCATGACGGTTTACTAGTGAGGTCATCCGCTGAGTACTATGACCCAAGAGTAGGTGTTTGGTGCAGTATCACAGATATGCATATCGCCCGTAGAAACGCTGGTATGTCGCATACTATATCCAACATGGTTAATCTCGAATCATTTCTGCTATTTACTGATTTCAGGACTAGTTGCACATAACAGAATGCTCTATGTGGTCGGAGGAGATGATGGAACTGCAAATTTGGACACTGTCGAGACGTACGACCCGAATTTGAACACTTGGACACTGATCTCTGGACGGCTCAACATTGCTCGTTGCTATGCTGGAATTGCACTAGTTGACTGTGTCGTCCAAGCTAATAATAGCACCTAGTGAACGATTCTACTCCTGTATCACAGCTACTTTGTTTTAATAACTTTACAGTATCTGATTGCCATCAAAAATGAAATCATTGAACGAAATATGATGAATTACATACACCTAAGGACGTATTATACAACATAGGTAGACCATTTTGGAATAGTATGTCCACATTAACTCAAGCCCATTACGAATAAGTGTGAAGACTGAAAACTCAATTGTGGGAACCCCATCAGAGGTTAAAAGAAGGTGATCTGGTGGATATTAGCTTGATCAGCCCATCCAGGTATGGAAGGGTTCGTCGAGAATTCTATAACCAGAGGAACAAATTACATTGGCAGAATCATTCAAATTTTACTCGAGTACTGGAAAAAACATTCCGATCCTTATAAGGTTCCCGTTTTATAACAATGCCGACCCGTAGAGATCTTATCTAATCAAGTCACATTATTGAACACAATGAGAACCAACTAGACGCATAGTTAGAAAATTTTCAGCCTAGAAAATGAATACGCAAACCCTTTCTAATACATAGCTCTTGAATACGCCATGGATGCTTTTGATTAAATGAATAGCATATCTACCTACACTAAATGCGAGTTCAGTGCACTTAACTCTTATCTCCCATCAAAGAAAAAATCGACGACGAAAAACAGTGACCCAAAAAGATAACAGATTCAACCATGCCAGTCAATGAATACCTTAATGAAACGCCATGGAGCTGGTGAAAAGCTAAAATTTTTTCACACAACCCAGTATACCATGATTAAACTAAATAACAGCTGACGACACAAGATGGACAAGAGTGCGCTATATAGTCACTGAAAATACTGTACGAAGACATCGAAATACGCTAAGCAAGTCGTGAAAGCTTCCTCCAGATAATAACAGTTAAACTCCACTGTCAGAAGTCAATATAAACACAATATATTACCCAGGAGCATAACTAAAATGGACTAAAAAAACCACAGAACATGAGAGGAACTCGAAAAACCTTAACGATATGAGTATGGACATGCTAACTAAGTCAATTCATATAAACAAAAGAATTGAAAAGATGACAATCCATTCAATAGGACCGAGATTTATTTATACAATTACTTGGCCTTAGGCCCAGATTTCTTAGCGGATTTACCGGCAATTTTAGCAGCTGGCTTCTTCTCAACCTTAGCGCTGGCCTTTGCAGCTTTAGCAGCAGCCTTCCGCTTCTCAATGGCTTGTTGGATTCGATCCTTCCTCTTCTCGCGGATGATTTGTTTAAGGACCTTTTGCTCCTCCATGAGGAAAGCACGTAAAATCCTTGAACGAACACAGGCATGGCAACGACTGCCACCATAGGTACGCGAAACGGTCTTAAGACGCTTGGACATGCGAGTGCGGTCCATGGGACGAGATGGCTTAATACCAGCCAATTTGCATTTACAGTCCCCACATTTGGGGAAAGTTCCGCGTTTCTTTTGGTAAATGTAAACTAATTTACCACCAGGGGTCTTGACCCTATGTGAAAAGCATTATTAATTTCACGAACGGGTCAAAAACACAATTTTAAACAAATAGATGCTTACTTTTGTCTCCTGTTGGAATTGGTATTATAAGATAAACGTCGTCTGAGTGTCAGTCGCTGCATGGCTAGGCAAAAGTGGACGGCGCCGAAGGTAAATTATTGACATCTTTAAACAAATTCTATACACTTGAATATATTATGTACATTAAGATTAATACATCAAAAACTATTAAACCTATACATATTTTACAAATATTTATTGAAAATTTTATTTTTCAATGTATGAACTAAATTAAAAATTTTGGCATACCAAATAAAATCGATAAAATTAGAAGATTTGTTAAGACAAGTTTATCTCAATTATAGAAATAAGAATATATTTCGATTTATATAAAGTAATCTATTGGTATTTTCGTTACCGTTTTTGCGTTCTTTGAAAAATGTACTACTAGTAGTTAAGATTTTAGAGAAATTATTTTAAACAAAGAGGTATATGATAATATTTTAAAACACTTTTCATCTTCAAAGTTTGAAAGTTTCCATTTAATTTAAAGATAGTTTCCAAAATTACCTAATAGACTATTGCCCACACTACCTACTTTAAATCATTCTAGTTTTTTCTCAGGTTTCAATATGAAATCTTCATTATGAAAGTAAAAAAATGTGCATAAGAGAAGCATTAAATTAAAGAATTAAATCAAATTAATTTAATTAAATTACTCATGATGTAAATCTGGCCTTTAGTGCCATAACATTTGTCGTGTTTTTGAGCATTATTAAACAAAAAATGAATTTTGTTGAACTCGTTTAAATATGGTGTAAAGCAGCTAATAATCCCTTATTGAATTTTTTACCATGAATTGTCTTTCAGAGGAACTGAAAAGCAGACTGAACACCTGAATTCCTATAAGCTCCTTTACATTCTCCCCCCCCCCCCCCCCCCCACTTTTCTCTATAAGAGAACGTTTAGTTATATTATTTTCAAAAAAATTTCTAGTTATTTACGGTGTTAAGAACTTTGAGACAGTTTGGGTAAAATAAAATTTACATCGTGTAATGCTATAAATTCAGTTACACTCTAAAAATAAAGTGATCTTTAGTAGAATATAATAAGTCAGATTATGTGGCGTCTGAACAAAATTTGGCAATCAATAAGGCGGATCAGCAAAATACCCCCCCCCCCGTGGAAGTAATAGATTCATAAGTAATTTCCACTTTAGGATTGTCCAAAATCATATAAAACAAAATATATTTCTATCCCAAGGGACCACCTTAGCAACATTTATTGACAAGTAGTAGCAAAAACCAACTGATTAATCTTAGGTGTCCAGTTATTCCAAAACTGCAGAAAAAATACAGAAAAAGGATAAAACGACCACAACTAGCAAATGAATCGCAGGTGTTCAAGACCCATTTTACAAATTGAGCAATGGGAAATAATCAAGACAAGTAGCATTAATCCAATTGCATTCAGAATAATTTAAATTCACTATTTTCACTTTAAGAATTATAGTGACGCCATGTGTACAAAAGGCCACCGCCACCACGAGAGGCGATGATTATTATTTCTTTTTCTGCAGACCTCCACCGGCGTTAAATTTGAAGTAAATAATGTCACCGTCTTCAACTTCGTATTCGCGTCCCTTCTGCCTGTACTTTCCGGCAGCCTAAAAAAGGGAAATACAAACAGGCGCATAAGAAAATATCTACTAGTAACTTCGACAAGAACAATAAAAGAGGACTAGCATTCATGATCTAGCACGTATCAAACTTAGAATGTTTTGCCATTGAAAAATATTAAATAGAGAAAATAAGACAACATAAAGTAATATCTTTACCAGGAAATTTCAATCCTCATAGGAATCATAAACTAACTAAAAGAAAATTGTCGTCACCTTTAAAGTTCTAATGACGACTTATTCTAATTAACAATACCTATCAGGTCGAAGCTCATTGAGGAGTATATTCAGTACAGAGGCGAAGAAATCTGAAGCGTTTCTGCAGTTATCGACTCATAAGTCACAGAGAGCGCATACGTTAGCTGCATTAACTCCACACCACAACACTTTCCCGTCATGTCCGTGACATATGAACACGCATGCACATAGAAAGAGCTTCAACAGGAACTTGACGCTAAGCTTTTGGACAGTATCATGGCACAAGGTCAGTGCGAACAAAAGTGCCAAAACAGCTCGTCATAATTAAACAGCAGGTCAGTAAGTGCTAGACATCGTGGACAATAATTTGGCTAGAAATCTAAATTTTCCCAAAATGAAAACTGCTTTAACCTTGGTGTGGATAAAAATGATAAAAGAGAAACAAATGGAGATAGCTTACCTTGCAAGCCGCCTCCGAGCCTTCAGCTTTAAACTCCTCGAAGTTCATCACTTCAGCCATGATGAAGCCGCGTTCCATGTCAGAGTGAATCTTCCCTGCCGCAGATGGAGCCTTTGTGTGTTTCTAAGAATAAAATTTTTCCTTATATATATCTCATATGAAAATAAGGCAATAAATTATACAATAATATGGTGCAAACAATTTCATAGCAGTTTGCCATAAAAATGGAATTTTCCATGGAAAAAAGTAAGTAGATGGATATAATGTGGCAAATATCAAGAAAACCACCGGAAAGCTAATGTAATAAACGGCCAATTTGCTGTCGGCTGTTAATTGTAGTGCACTTAAAAAATGAATTTTAGAGTACGTAGAACAAAAAGCAATCTGTAAGCAGTGAGGTAGCATAAGAGCCTAAGGCGAATGGGATTCAATGCTGTTGACCAATGGCAATAATTGCAAAGACAAAGAACTAGTTTTAATCTAAAAAGCAACAGAAGAAAATAGATTGCAATAGCTTGTAAATATCGAGGCATCACATTGAAATAAGTGTTAATTCACTTAGAGGAAGAATGTAATAAATGAAATAATCCGCTAAAGTCCAAAAAAGCTCAGATGGACTTTTTCACATGGATAGGGAGACGCCTAACAAAAATCTTTCTTTATTACTCATAACTATTAACATATGACAGAGTGCGATAAGAATACGTAAGCTAAATAAACATAAACTCCGACGAACTCACATTACAAGACAAATGAGCTCTAATTTAACATGGCATGTCCCGATAGCAGTTATTAAAATAGCACGAACAATGGCCAATCGTCGAATACCTGAATGATTTACAAGAGACTTCAGTTCAGTTCCTGAAAAATTGAGGAAAAGAACGTGGCATCGAAGTTAACTAACTTAAAGACTTAACAAGACCACCGAGGAAACTATTAAAGAAATGTTATTAAGAAATTAAGAGAATAAGCCACACAAGAAAACAACCAGTAGCCGTTGCGCTTGCGAAGTATACGCAGATTCAACGGAAAAGAATTTTACTTGCCTGAATAGTCCATGCTCTAACTTCGTCTTTGCCAGCAGTGAAAAAGTAGATGAGATGAAGCGCGGCATAGCCGGTCTTAATGATCTTTGGCAATTGTGAATGAACACCTGGATTCTCTTCAGCGAACTTCTTCTTCTCTTCCTCAGACATACCAACATAGTTCAACTCGAAATCTGCTGAAAATGGAATCATGACGGCACCAGGATCGTTAGCATCCACATATTCCTTAATCTTAATCAACCTGAAAGCGGTATAAAGCAATTAGAAAAGCATTTAATAACTAATAAATCAAATTTAAACACGAAACTTACCACTTATTCTTCTTTCTAAAGAAGTCCTTTTGGGACATGTTGATAAGATAAATCATCGGTTTGGCAGTTATAAAAAGATGTTTGTTGAGGATTTCAATCTCGACGGGATTCCATTCTCCAAAACGGATACCCTTTTGTTCTTCACAAAGAAGATGCTTTGCTTTAGTTATAACATCAAATTCTGGCTTCTGTTTTTTATCACCACCACGAATACAGGACTTTTCAAGTTTATCGTATTCATGTTTAACATACTCCTCATCTTTCAATCGAAGTTCTTCCCGAATAATTTCCAAGTCGCGGATTGGATTAACGTCACCCTCAACATGACTAACCTCAGCGTCTTCAAAAACGCCTACAGAAAAATTGATATTAAATACGCATTAAAACCTACGTAGCATTTGAAAAATTCCATCTACAGATTTGATATGAGAAAGGAAGGCATTTCCAAGTCCAGCGCCATCATGAGCGCCTTTTACAAGACCAGCAATGTCAACAACATTTAGGTAGGCAGGGACACGACTAAAAAAAGATATAACACCAGATTATTAGCTGCAAACCTCAGAGGTTTATAGAGATCGCAGAGAAAATCAAAGCGTTCATCGGGAACAGCGACACGACCTAAAATTATTATTAAAAATATACACACTTTCGTTTGGATCAATTGTGCAGAAAGGGAAGTTTGCGGCGTTTGCCGAACTCTCGGTAAGTACGTTGAAAAATGTAGATTTCCTGAATAATTCCAAAATATGCAATTAATGAAAAATTACCCGACGTTGGGAAGACCGACAATACCACACTTAAGATTACTTCCCACTCGACCTAGTAAAACGGTCTTTGGAAGCTCGGTCTTTTTCTTGGACATTATTAAACGGTACCTAGGATCACTATAAATTCCAATTGAGTGCCAGCATTTGCACGTTCTCTATGGCAAGGTCATCCAAGGATGAACTTTGTAAGATCTGTCTATATTTATCATAAAACAAGTTTACTTTGATAAATTTAATTGAATCCGAATATCTAAAGCTTAAGTTCATTGACAGGGATATGTTTTCAAAGTATAACACACAAGTACATTTCAGATAAATTTCCAAAAATTTCCAATTTTGAGCCAACCTTTTTAATACATTAATTGTTTTACTTCATCTCGCCTAATATATTTTAGGAATTTTAATTATATTTGTGAGTTTCTTTATATTGTTGCATTAAAACGGTCCTGATGTGTGAAGTTGTGATGTGTTAAACTACGTATGAGATGTTCTATTTTATTGCATGTAAAATACCGGTGAATGGCAGAAAATTAAACCTTATCGTGCCAAATGGTATAAATTCGTAATGCTTTCCATAATCTTAAAATCAAATATTCATATTCCACGGATCGTTGACCAAACGAGGACGAATTTTTTTATTTGTATAAAGATATAGATAAGTCTAGCTAAAATTCTTCAATCAAATGGGATAGAAATAAATTACACAAAATTACTAAAAATTTTACGAATTTTAAATTCTGTTAAAATCATGGAACTCTAACGCTTCATTGATACTAAAAACATTTATTTAGTGTACATGTGGTAGCAATTAACACTGGTTTTGTCGCCCCAAGATGGAGAACAATTTTGGCAACATTATACTAGATGCATATATTGCTACGTATTGCTTTATCCGAATTTTATTTTTGTTATATTTTTACATCTAATCATCATGCCAATAAATTCGGAATAAAGGTCGACTCCATCACTCATTTGCAGTAACTTGGTAATCATATCACAATACGCATTTTACGCACTGGTAGCAATCCGTACTATTATAAAATTAACACCATTTCCCTTAAATTCTCTCGTTCTATCTCTCAGTACTAATAGTTGTTCAATACCTCTTGTTTTATGAATTAGAATTTTGTCCGTTGCAGTTGGGAAAGGATAGAATATGCCAATAATACACAGGAATAATTTCTATACGTGATTTGACTTTTGAATTCATTCTGATTAGATAATAAACGGTGAAGGAAAATAAATTGTGCTTAGATGTTAAAAATTTACTTTTACCACATTGCTGCAACATTTTCTAACCCTATGAAATAGATGAAAGTATGCTCTTTGACAGTATTAACTGGGGAGGCAAAAATATATGAGTGTATATGATTTGCAAGTTCGGAAGGAAATAATTCAAAATTTTATTTCATGGATACCGATACTATGACAGTCGCAATAAACCTGCCTCATCAAGCCATGCGCACTCAATATCGTTGTTATTTTTACTAAGAAAACTTAACATGCGTTTAATAGACGAATATTTTCTAAGAATTTCTTATTTTCATGTGCCTGTCGTAATTGACAAACTAGACCTAAATATAATTAAAATGTTCCAAGAATAGTCAACAGTTGATAACACGTAAAATCGAATTAAACTAGACTTTTAGGCATTTTTATTCATGTAAAGCTATACTTGCAAAATAAACGCAGATCTTGTTACGATCAGTAACAAAATCTTTGGGAGAGAGGTAAATTTCAATCTAAATATTTTAAATTTATGAGGGACAATCGGACAAACATCAGATAATAATGGTTGGATATACAGAATACTCTGTTCCGACAATTGTATTTGGTATGAAATGCAATATCGTGTTATAATAAAATGTTATACAGCGAAAATAAGAATACTTGCATTCATCAATTATTAGGATTCAATAAGGACTGTGACTACTTTATAGGAATATGTCAAGTTATTTAAACGGTTCGATCTTTTCAGTGCGGTGTATTATGTATTATTAATATTTGTTAATAATATAAGCGGAATTTTAATGAGGAAACCTAGGGCGAATGAATCACATAACAGTTGCCGCCGTCTTATCATATTGGATCACAAGGTGTCAACTGACGCCTGCTACATCAATGAAAAGAGTTTTACGAGTTAAGTTGATCAGCAAAATTACTACTTTCCGACTACAGATAACTTCATGCTACTTCAAAGTTAAAATTTGGTAAGCAAATTTTTTTCAAGCATTAGCTAGCGTTCAAATTTGAGAAGAATTGAAATCAAGAGTTTCCTATTATATAATAACGATCATAGTAAATCATTGAAATTAGTAGGTTTTTAAACTGTTAACACAGTGTAAGTAATGTGGAAGAAACACTCATATACTAACAAAGGATTAAAATTATTTATTTGTTAAACACAAGTCTTGTCTCGCCATGATGATTGGCCACCGTATTGTTACCTATAGCAAAAACATTCTTACAACTGGGCTGTTAGGCATGCGACATCTAGAGCAAATAGCAGTTCGATAGAAAATATGAACCTAACCAAATATGGTGGAAACATAATGACTTAGAACTTTTATACACATCTTTAAAGCAGTTACTTTCTATCAAATGATATATTAATTTCATAAATTTCGTATATTACCAAAATTACAACGCGAAAAATAGCAGTCAGATATAATTAACTTCATTGTTTTATCAAAAAAAATTAAAATTTTGAATAATAATTAGATTTAGTAGAGTTTGTTTATATTGATTCACAAGTCACCGCCCGTGTGAATTATCTAATGGCGCTTCCAGGATCAATCGCGTATTGATTATTAATTATGAAATGCATATTTCATTGAAAGCTACTACCTATAATACTTTGTAAATCAGAATAAGCTTTATTATTGTATGCGCCATGGCCCTACCTTGTTGCACGTTCGCGCGTGTTTCTGAGTCCGATAAGGCACGGAGCGAAGCTAATAAACAAATCGATAAATTAATAGAAAAAGACAAACGAAATTTCCGATCAACTCATCGCCTTTTATTGCTAGGTGAGATTGCGATTTACTTATACCTTGATTTCTCTTAGGGGCTGGAGAGAGTGGAAAATCGACAATTGTGAAGCAAATGAGGATTTTGCACATTGATGGCTTCTCCGATGCGTAAGCTACTAATTTAGTCATCTGTATTTCTTAGCGAAAAGAAGGAAAAGGTTGTTGATATTC